TAAGGATATTGAGCTGTTGCAAAATCCAGTCTGCCACTGCTCATTGTCAATGGTCGACCTCTACCCTAAGGATATTGAGCTATTGAGCTGTTGCAAAATCCAGTCTGCCACTGCTCATTGTCAATGGTCGACCTCTACCCTAAGGATATTGAGCTGTTGCAAAATCCAGTCTGCCACTGCTCATTGTCAATGGTCGACCTCTACCCCATCCTCCACAATTATAAACCATGTAGTACGACACAAAAAGCACATCCCTCACATCCATCAGACTGTAAATACGGTTTAGGATGCACTCCCACATCGAGGGGCGGTCTGCAGAATGGCATGGTTCTAGCAAGTCTCCTGCTAATGAACCCTTTGTACACAAGAAAGAGAAAGAAAAGAAACAAACATACCCACATAGCCGACACAACCACCAGAAGGGAAATAAAACACAGACCTGTATCCCCCAAAAGCATGCCACACCTATGGGCCACCAGAAGCATAACAGCACGACGCTCACTCACCACTGCCACACACCATGTGCCCCCGAGACTACCAGCAGCGGAAATTTAATGCACATTGCACAGCACATACGTTCTAAAACCCATCCACAGAAGAATATGATAGTGGAGAGTGCCATGTGTGTATTCGCGTTTTTGAGTCCATGTTTCTGGGTGTCCTGTGAACCCATGTGTGCATGGCTGTGTGGCTCAGCCGTATGTGTGGGTGTCCGTCTGCAAGTGTGAGTCGGTGTGTAAACGTGTGAGGGTGTGCATGCACGAGTTCCTGTGTGCATGCAAGCCCATGACGACGTGTAAGTCCATTTCGTCTTGTGTGTTCATATCTGTGAGTTCATGGGTGCTGAGTGTGAGGGCATGTAATTGCGCTTGACCGACGCAGGGCAGCTTGTATGCCGGCCCAGAACAGCAAAAACTGACCGCTGAAGGCCAGCAGTGGTGGCCCTACCAGCCCAGCGCCCTCTATTTCAGCAGCGCTGGGCCAGTCGGCCCTAGGTCTCTCCACAGCTCGCGTGGGAAGCACGCACTCTGCTTCTGCAGTTGTAGAACAGGCCAAATGCGGCCAGACCAGACCGTGCTGGGCTGGTAGGGCGTCATGCCCTTGCCAAAGAGAAAGTTGCGTGTCAGCCAGACACTTCTTTTTTGGAGCTTGGCCAGAGAAAGCAAGCACCACAAAGAAAGACTTCACGTGGACGTCTTTTAAACCACCAGTATGTTTCCCAGCCATTTTTCAGAGACGCTGAGTGATTTCTGCCATGTTGGGCGGGAAGTAATGGGGTTTTGTTTCGTTGGACATTCATCCAGGCAAAACGGGCCTCGCATGTGACCTGTTCCGCCTGGATGGATCTGCCATGAAACGGAAACCCAAGAACTTCATGCCCGACATGGCAGCATGCACGCTGCATCTCTGAAAAAATGGCTGAGAAACGTACTGGTCGTTTAACCACCAATCCACCATGACCAGTAATGCCAAAGGCCCTGTGCAAAAAGGAGGCGCACGGAAGGGGGCAGGCCCTACAACCCTACGTGAAAAAGTGTGCTCTCATGCATCTTTTCTTCTATAGATCCTCGTGCCCTACTGGTCCAGTGCTACCCAGTATGGCCACAACCCTCACACAAAACAGGACATGCACACTGCCTGAAAGCAAATGTATGGTGCAAAGAGCGAACACATGCCATGAAAAAACGGTGCTACTAAACATCACTTTCATTGGACTGTGGCAAGGCTTTGGAAGTTACGATGGTCATCATCTGGAGTGATAAGGTAGTATAGGTTGAAAACCGTTAAATTCAATAAATATTAAATTCAATTATTAAATTGTCATCATCATTGAGCTCAACGTCTGCTCATCGATGTCCTTGGCGTTGTCATCATCTGATTGAATTCATCATGATCATCACACTCATGCATCCTAATAGTCTGCCTCATCACGATTGCTCTCAATCTCCTTATCATCACTTCGGGGGGCCCACCACCACCTGTGCTTTGATCGGAGTGGTAGCACTTCTACTGTGGAGGCTACGGTGGCTTCTGCGATATTCTGTGGTCAAGTGAGGTAGACGAAGCTCCTGAATATGGTGGAACTTTATGGGACACTTTGTAAGTTTAAGACTAAAAAGGCGAAGCTTTATGCGACACTTCGCAAGTTTGCAAGTAGCTTGTATGTTGGGGAAGGCAGTCGCTGCCTGGCATCCCCTGAGAGAAGACGATCTTCGTCACCATTACGATTTCCATAAGCTTCACTGTATTCAATCTGACAAAGAATACGCACTTCCTGGAAGCCTCGCGCAGTTAGGCACGATCACCCAAAAAGGGCAAAAAAGTTGAAAAAAACATGGTAGGAAGTTACACTGAACTATAAAGAAAATGGGATATCCAAGAGTTCACGAGTGTGACGTAGACTTGTGTGAAGGGTGCTTCATTGTCAGTGCTACCGTCTTCACCCGAACACAACGCACCCTGATTATGAATGTATATGGACCCCCGGTGGTCCAACCGGAATTCCGGTTGGGCCCAAAAGTGGGTCAAAAAAGAGTATAAAAAAAGATTGAAAACAAATTCAAAACATGGTTTGTTTGTTTTTTTTTTGGGGGGGGGGTGTATTTAAGGGGTTGAGGGTCGGGGGTTGGGGGGTTTATGGTGAGGGTGTTAGTGATGGGGTTTCCGCAAGCACATGCTTCCACAGACATTGACAACAAGGTACCTGGCTTTCTGCAAACGTTAACCTTCCGCCCAAAAGTTTGAACAGGGGGCTGGAGGTGTTAGTGGCAGGGKAGGGACAGTAGGGGCATATACGAATACACATACACACAAGGTGAGTACGCAGTCACAAAGTGACACAAAGCATCAACAGAAAACCCGCGTTGCGGGATGTTCAATTTGGGTGGGTGGGGGTTATACCTTATATTGTTAGGGGTGCTTGTCACTGCTGTCTGGTCCAAGTTGCCCTCGATACTGGTAGGGTATGGTCCTGAGTGCTGGTCACACTGAGGTAGGATAGTAGAGATAGGGGGTGCACTGGGAGCATTAACGTCGGGAAGGGTAGGGAAGGTGGCCAATCCTGTCAGGACAACCACCGGCTGCCGCTGCCAGTGATCACTGTGGGTCTAGTCCTTGGCCTCAACAACACCCTGGGCTTGAAAAAAATAAAAAATAAAAAAAATGATGCACTACGGCCAACCGGGGGGGAACCGGCCTGGTCGACTGGCCGGTCTGGTTCCGGTTGGGGGAGGGGCCCGCGGTCCTACCGGGTTTGCAGCACTGGTCTAGGCATGTTTTCCATGTAATGATATGATACTATTTTGATATTATGATATTATTATCTAATTCAGAAAATGTGGCCATATTCCTCACTTGTACGATTGCTACAATGTAATGTCGATGCTCTGTAATCAGATTCTGCACTGATATGCCTGTGACTGAAGTCAGTTGTAATCCGTTATGACTCTGCCGAGGCCACCCGCTGTACGCTCACACTTTTGCATTACCCTGTCTTCTTTCCTTTTCAATACAGGTTGTAGCTCCCATCAGGATTGAACTCATGATCTGTTTACTAATCGTTACATTTGCGCACCATTCAGCCAAATGGAGCGGGTACCTTCTTCATCATCTTCATCATTCTCACCTGGTCAAAATTGATTTTACATGCATTGCAGAGAGTAACATTCTTTGGCTCCTCCTCACTTCCATAGTTTCGCACATGCCATCGGCAAGTCCTGCATGAAAAAAGGTCAAATTAGGAACATGAATCACCAGCCGCCAGCCAGCTGGGGCAACTCAACACCAGGCAATGAAAGCAGCGTTCCACAGACTCTGTTTTCCCTAAAAGGATGATGTCCAATGGCAGGAAAGGGGAAAGACGGAAGAAGAAGAATAAGAGCAGAAGAATTAATCTTTTTAAACGTTTTTTGCTTTTCTTATTCAAAGTCCAGGTAGTAGTAGAGGTCAGATGCTAGTCCTCGGGAGACACCTGTAGTACTCCGCCATGGGAGGATCCAATGGGCCGCGGACACGCTAGGGATTGTCTCACCCCCGAAATATCATTTTTTCCCCCGTCTAATCTCATAGCAGATCACAAGTCGAGCCCTACAGCAGTGTACTCTAGCCAGCCCTTAAGCCCAAGCACTGCCGTAGGGTTCGACTTATCAGCAGCTTTGGAAGCATTTATATCAACATCGGTAATGCATGTTATGTTGTTAACTCAACTAAAACTGTAGGCTGGTGGGTTTTTTTTTTTTTTTTTTTTTTTTTTTAAAAGGTCCTTATGGTCCTGGCTCCATGTCCTTTTTGGGGAGCATCAGTCCAGTTCCTATTCCCCCAGCAAGTCAAGATTGAATACATCATAGTACACCCCCACGCTTCCTTCCGTCTGGCCGAAGGAACCCTGAGCAGCATTGATTACTCCTGTATGGGAGGATTGACTGTCAGCTTGCCCTACCCTAGCTTTCCTCTCAAAAACCATGTAGGTTCTGTCGAATAGGTATTGAAGCACTAGAAAACCGGGAGAGATGTCTATCTGTCTGAGGCTAGAACCTCAATTTGTCCCTCTCGGGGCTACATTCCTTGTCATTGTTGGAGGGGCCCATTTCTTCCAGTGTAATTTATTGTCTGAGACTGTCGCAATCTTTCCCTGTAGCAACCAGTCTGTCATGAAGATTCGTCTCGTGAGTGCGAGTCTTTCAGGTTTGCCAATCGTTGCTGTCGATATACTCCTCCATTTGCATCGGATCGCTGTTTCCACCATCCTCAGCAGTAGGGACCACATTCCCTCCTTGGCCACTTCTGAGCCCTCGATTGTCTTGGTGCACCTCCTTTTCCATATGACCCACAGGGCTAGTTTCCTGATCATGTGGAACCAGACCGCTTTTGCACCTCTGAGGCTGTCGGGGATGTTAGATAGAAGTAGGATGTTCAGAGGGGTGAGGTTGGGGGAGGGGATGAGAAGAGGTGGAACCATAGATTAGATTCATTAATACAATATTGATGAATGAGACTATAATATAATAAAATTAGAATTCCATTGAACAAAAGAGCTTTCGAACAAAGTTTATACAATTCTTTGTGTGTATTTTTTTATAAAAATACAACAATTTATTACATTGCTCCTTTCGGACTTTGTTCCATATCCCGACGGCCTGGCTGCAGTAAAGGAGGCAGTGGGGGATGTCTTCAGGGACATTGTCCCTGCACATTACGCATAGTTCCGAGCTGTCGGGGTCCGAGTGTTTTCTTCTTTTGTGGAGCCACTGGTTGACAGGGAGTGCTGCATGGGCTAGGAGCCACTATAAGCTACGGATTCTCGCTGGTCTGATGGGAAGGTATTTCGTCCAGGGGATGGATATTGAGGTTGTTGGCTCTAGGATCAGTGTCTCTATCCATCTGTTTTCAAGTTTGGGGTTGGGGTCCGTGGTCAGTAGGCCTAGGTTGTACCCGAATTTTACGTCATATTCCAGTATCGTTCTAGTTTTTTCGGATTTGCTTTGTTTCCATATCCACTCCTTAGGATCGAATTCGAGCTCTGCTATGCTGAGGCCAGGCTGAAAGATTATCCATGGTTTGTTTTTTTATACCCTCACTTTTCGCAGCCGGAAGCACTCTATCGTCTCTAGCTCAGGTTTTCTGTTGGAGGATGGCTAGTTCCTGGAGGTTTTGATTGGCGATGGGATAGGAGTAGAATTTGGAGAGGTAGCCGGTGGCTGAGGTGCGGGATACGAACCGGTATGCTCTGCTCGGTGAAATTTGGGATATGAGTATACCCCAGTCCCCTGGTTTCCAGGAGAAGTCTTCTTGAAAGAGGCAGTTCTGCGGGATCTGCCTGATCTTATCGTCCACTCGTTTGCCATAATCCAGAAGTAACCGCTCATGTTTGGTGGGGAGCTTATCGGTGCTAGGTTTCTTATGCTGTCTAAAGCCATCTTGGTCCATGGTAGGTATTGTCTGGTTAGGATCCTGATGATCCATTTCATTTGTAGTGCTGTTGATTCCTGCTTGGGTCAATTAGCCCTAGGCCTCCCTCCTGCGGTTTCCTAATGATGTGGCTCCATGCTACCCTGTTGATGCATGAGGTCCGGTTGGGGTCCCCTGTCCATAGGTAGCACCTTGCTCTAGCCTTTATTGTTTGGAAGTAGACGTCCGGGGGAGACCAGATGGATGCGATGTACCAAAGTATGGAGAAGATAACTGTGTTTATAATTAGTGCCCTCCCGATCAGTGATGCCTGTGCGTTCTTGCACGGGGCCAAGCGAGTTATTGCTTTGGCTATTAAGTTGTGGCCCATTCGCGGCCACACGCCATCCTTGTTGACCATGATACCTAGATATCTCAGTGCCTGTTTGCTTGTGGACCACGACATGGGTGTGGATGTGCCCTCTGATTGGGGGGACGTCTCGTCTACTAGCCACCATCCTTCGGTCTTGCTCCAGTTGACCTTCATCTCGGATGCGAGACGGAAAGCCCCCATCGCCCTCGCGAGAGCTTGGAAGGAACTGTTGTTGGCGCAGACGAGAACTGTGAGATCGTCTGCGAACATCAGAGCAGTGGGTAGGGCGAAGTCGTGAAGTGGGTTGAAGTTCCGTTCGGTGAGCCGGTCTATGGACGGATCTTTGGGGAGGAAGGATGTTACGACTTCCATAATGAAGAGAAAAATGGGTGGAGAAAGGGGGTCTCCTTGTCGTACGAATCTGGAGATGGGGTAGGTCTCCGATGGAATCCTATTGACCTAAACTCTGTAGGGTGCGTCCTCGTACAACACTCCTGACCCACTTCCTGAAATTCGGGCCAACCCCCATTTTTTCCATGCAAGCGTGAAGGAAGCCGCAGTTGACTTGGTCGTAGGCCTTTTCGAAGTCGAAAAACAGGATCGCTGCTTTCATCCTTTTTTCGGTTATCTTTTTGGCCGCCTCACATTGTCTAGTATGTACCATCATGGGATGAAGCCCGCTTGGTCGATGTGGAAGCATTTGTCGGTCAGATTTATGATCTTGTTGGCTAGTGTTTTCGCTAGGATTTTGTAGGGGGCTGTGAGTAGCGAGATGGGTCTAGAGTTTTTCAACTCTTCTTTATCGCTTTTTTTGTGGAATAACGATACTACACTTGTACTCGGGTTTTGGCCTAGTCCTCCTCGGTCTCTGCTGTCATTGAAAAAATTGAGAAGGTCCTCGCCTAGTTTGGGCCAGAAGTGGCCCCAAAATTCTTTCGATAGTCCATCAATGCCCGGGGCTTTATCGTTACCCAATTGAGTCAGGGTTGTGTATAGTTATCCCAACGAGAGTGGTCAGTCCAGCCCCTCAGTCTGTTTTGGTGTGCTAGTCTTCTCCAGGTAGGCCATCATTCGTTGAGTTGGCTGAGGGGAGGGGGCAAGGTGTTTTGGATTCGTAGAGCTGCGCGTAAAACGATCTAGCTATTTTCACCATTCCTGAACCTGATTGATCGACCCTGTTTTGATTGTCTGGGTCTTTCAACCCTTCAATGTTGTTGTTTCTGGTGTTAACTTTGATTTTTGCGAAGAAGTGTTTTGTCATGGATTCGTTAAGGGTGTGGTCGGTCATCCTGGCTCAAATCTGCAGGCCTCTCAGCTCCTATCTCCTCCAATCGTTGAGTTGTTCTCTTGCTGAGTCGAGTAGTTGGCTGTATAAAGCTCTTGAAGGGTCTGCGACAAGGTTGTCCTCCGCGAGAGATATGGCGAGTTGGAGTTCTTCTTTTCTGATTTTTCGTTCTCCCGCAATGCTTCTGGATTCCGCTGAGAATATTTGGGTAAGGTCTGTGTAACTGTTTGTGAACCATTGATGCCTGTTGTCCACTCTGGCACTGTTCTGTTGCAAGAAGAACCAGTTTCATCTCTCTGCCTCTGTTAGTCTTTCTGTGGTTAAGAGGGAGTTGTTAATTCTGTAGAAGCCTCGACCTGTTTCCGTGGGGGAGTCAAAGTTTAGGAGCAGCGCTACCGGCTTGTGGTCAAGACCCCGGAAGGCCGCTAGTGGGCAGATCTCAGCCTGTTTGACTGTTCCTTGGAGGTGCTTGGAGATTACGAAGAAGTCGATCCAGGACAGCGACGTCCAGTTGGCCTGGTTCTTTTTTACTAGTGAGAAGACCTTTTTCTCTAGGTGCAGCGTTCTGAAGGGGTCGATGAGGTCGAATTCTGTCATGATGTTTCTTATGTGGGTTCCTGCTTTTGTTGGGCTGTGACGAACTATTTTTTGTGATCGCGCGAGTTTCTGCGCGAAGCTGCTTGGGGAGATACGACGGGTCGAATGGGTGAACCATGGGAAGATGGGTCGGGCGGGCAAAGTGCATGAATGTCCTTGTTTCTTTTCGTTTTCTGCTGGAAGTTGTCGGATTGGTGTCGGGAAAATCTCGTGCCAACGGTTGGGTGGCCGCGTCATGACGAGCGCGAGAAATAATTGTACCATAGCTTATTTCTTGTTTTGCTGTGAGCACTGGGAATTTTTGGCGCGATCATCACGCGGGAATATCATTTTTGAATTTTCAACTGATGTGGAGCCCCCATGGGCTCGCAGAATTGTTTTTCTCTTTCTCGAAATTTCCTTTTACAATTAGGACTTAGGCTAGGAATTTAGGTACGCCTAATTTTGCTGCGCCACGCTCAGGCGCATTTTGCTGGGCTGGGAACCGGGCTCTGACTAGATCTCGCCCTTAATCTTGTGCATCTGTCGTATTTGGCGGGCGCAACTGTAACTGTGTCTTTCTTCTTGGTTTCCTC